GGGGGACAGGGATGCGGGGGGCTGCTCGCTCACCCTGGCGCTGTCTCGTTGCAGGCCCCAGCGTGGTGAGCCTGCTCCAGACCATGCAGCAGCTCCTGGTGCAGATCCTCCGCACCTCGCAGCAGCAGCAGGTGCTGCTGGAGAGCCTGGCCAGCGACACCATCGCCCACCTTCACCTCATCTCCGACAACCTGGTGCAGGTGGGTGAGACCCTGCACGAGCTGCTGCTCCAGGCTCACGCCCGCTCCGCCGACCTGCCCGCCCCGCTCAGCCACACGCCCCCCCTCCTGCCCAGGGGGCCCCGCTCGCCCAATTCCCCCTACCACAAAGCGGAGCCGGTGGGGTCATCCGCCTCCGGATTCCGCCCCCACCGGCTGGCCCCCCCGTGAGAGCCCCTGCAGAGACTCGGTGCACACCGCAGGTACTGGGGGGCCACTGCCCCTTTTGTAAACATGTACAGCGCTGGAGGATTTTACAGAGCTTTCTAGCAAAGACCCCCAGATATTTTGGACATTTTTAATTTTTTGAATAAAGGGTTTTTTTTAAACTAGTAAAATAATTACCACCCCCCCGGCACGCCCCGCCCTGTGGGACCCTCTGCCCTTTCTCCCTCGGGAGGGAACCCCCTGAGCCAGACCACTGAGGGAGCCTTCTCCAGCTCCCGAAGGAGAGGAGCCAGGCCAGGCTGGCAAGGGGGAGGTCCCAGCCCAAGCAGCGCATGGAGGGCAGGCGGAGGGCAGCCCAGCACGGGGCTGTGTGGCCCTGGGGACAGGAGCCTGCAGCTCTGGAGAGGCTGGCTGAAGGACTGGCCTGGGCCTTGGACTCTCCTTCAGGCCAGAGGAGCAGGAATGGATTGGACGCTAAACTAGCCTGCCAAGGGCAGGGCCGCTGAGGGGAGCGGTCCTGGGGCAGGCAAGGGGAAAGCACCCTTGTAGCTGGGGCGTCCCTGTCATGCAGCTGCCCAGGAGCCCTCGCTGTGGGCTCTGTCCTCACGCTGCCCCCGACCCCCAGCCTTGCCTCAGCCCCTGCTTGTCTTTGTGCTGGGACCCAGGGAGCCCCCTACACTCCTGCAGAGGAGTGTGGGGCCGGGCAGGGAAAGCCAGGCCAGAGATCCGAGGGGTGGCATTTCAGTCAGGCAAGAACGACCCCAGCCCCCCAAAAAGCACCTCTCCCCTTGGCAGTTCTTGGTAACCTTTATTGCAAGACAAAGCCCCAGTGAAAGGCAGCTGTTAGCTACCATCTCCCTCCCCCAACAGCTCTGTCCCGTCCGACCCTTCAGAGAAAACAGCACCTAGCACTGGCTGCGGCCCTCCTGCTGCCTGGACAGCCGCAGACACAGGACGGCCCCTCTAGGCCGAGTGGCCAGGCCCACCCCGAGGGAAACCGTGTGGCTAGGAATGTATGAAACCAACCGGAGAAGGCCCTGGAGAGTAACCCGCCAGGAGCAGCTGCACCCGACTTCCTGGCAGAGGGGGAAATGGGTTGTTTGTACAGCACCTCACGCTCTGGGTCCTGGGCCATGACCAAGGGGCTACAGTAATGCAAGATCTCTAGGCCTTAGGGTCTGGCTCTGAGCAGACTGCAGCCGAGGTGGGAGCAGCACCCCCGGCTGGCAAAGCACCAGGTTTGAATCTTGTTTCCCTTCCCCTTTTTCCCCTACATCTTACTGAGTTGGGCATCAGCTTCCTCTAGCGTCACTGATGCTGATTATTTACATAGCTCTGGTAGTATCCTAACCCCTTCCCCAAGCCAAGGGCCCTGCCCATGCAGAGACCCGCTGCACGAGGGCAGGCACTGCCCCACAGTGTCCCGCAGGGGCTCTAGTTCTTTTCCAGGCCAGTGACGTGCAGCCTCCCCGGCAGCGAGTCTTACTGTGAACAGGGATTCCACAGATGCCACGGGCCTGCCTTACCTGAGCAACCGTCCAGCATCGTGGGCTCTGGGGCCCCGAGTTCATCAGTAAGGCTGGGAGGCGGAATTGGGGGGGTCCCATCCCATCCCCCTGGCAATAGTGGCAAAGCATGAGGTAACGCTCTGGGCAGTCGTAGGGTTGGGAACCACAGGGCAGGCTGCGCTGGTGTGGGTTTGGCACCTGTTGCTGGCGTGTCAGGAACACTGATTGATGCTGGGCACGAGAGCAGGGCGTTATCCTCGATGGACCAGGGGGAGCCTTTCTAGGCACTGTGGGGCAGGGATCAGGCCTCACGGGATATCTCACGCTACAGGCTAACTTGCCGTAGCCTCCCTGTGCCCTAGGGGCAGGAGCCCAGGCCCACGTCTAACTTCCTCTCCCCCGCTGGCTCTCCAGGGGAGCTCTGGCAGGGCAGTGCTGAAGGAGGTGGGCCTGGTTAGTGTTGGTTTGTAAAAGCAGCTATTCCCATCCCAGTAGCACCCTGCACAGGGCGAGTTGGAGGAGAGACCTTGATACGTGAGATCAGTGGGAGTTTGGCTTCACCCCCTGCCTGGGAGGGAGGTCAGTGTCACTGGCCCCATTTTACAGGTGGGAAACTGAGGCAGAGAGCGGGGAAGTGACTTGCCGAGGGTAAGGAACAGAGCCCAGCCTTTACTTAATACAGTTTTGTAGTAGTAGCATCTGCATAGATTAACCCTTTCCTAGCGTCCTTTCAGTCTGGAAAGTGCTCCAGGCTCCCGAGAACAACAGGTACCCGGGTCCCAGCATGCACTGCTCAGGAAAGCGAGTACCATTTATACCTGCCAGACGTCACTAGCACCCAGGGAGCCTGAACCAGCTGCATGCCCAGGTGCTGGTGAAGTCAGGCCACCCTGGGCCCTCCTTCAGAAAGATGCAGCATGAGAAGGTGCAGTTAGTTTTGCTTGTGCCATTGCGCCAAGCCCAGGTAAGTCCCGTCCCATCCCCCCACCATGGGAAGGTGATAGAGATGGGGGAAATCAGCGTCACTCCCTGCAGGGGTTCTGGGCTACCCTGGTGTTTTCCAGCCTCCCCAGAATGCAGGGAGGCTAGTAATGCTGCTGATTTGGTAGGTCACACATCCAGCAACCCCCCTTCATAAGGCAGCCAGGGAGAGCCTCAGCTGGGCGAGGGCTGGAGACTCCAGGCGTGAGGAGAGAGTCCTCCTCTGGAGGCAGAGGCCAGCCCCACTCCCCTCTGTCATGGCTGGTGTCCTCCCCTCTCAGCTCCGTGGCTCACTGTGCCCTGCGCCCCAAGGCACTGTCGTGTTAGAGGCAGCAAAGTCCTGGTGACCTTGGACCTTCCAACTCAGCTCAGCTCAGGGCTGTCAGCAACTGGCCACAAACTGAAGCGGACTGCAGCCCACCTGTGGGGCTACAGGTCCTAGCGTGCCACGCTAGGCAGGAGCCTCAGCTGGGCATGACATACCGAGACCTGGAGTCCCTCCGTATTAATGATGTTTGGGCCCTCCCGCACCACTTTACCGAGCCCTACGGACATGAACCACTTAATCTCCACAGGCCCCAAGAGCTGAGTCAGATAGTTATCCCCATTTTACAGGTGGGGAAACTGAGGCACAGGATCGGTCAGTCAGTGGCCTGAGGTTAGTAGCAGAGCTGAGACTCCCAGCCCCAACCTCGTGTTTCTGTGGCAAGTAAGATGCTGCCTGTCAGGCAATCCGGACAGGGCCATTTCACTCTCCGGCAGCCCGGAACAATGGAAGGGTAAGAGAGCTGGGGTGCCTGGCAAGAGTGCATGGCAGGGGCTGACCATGACTCCCACCCCAGAGCCTGGCATGGGGCTTGGGGGGGGGGAATTAACTGAGCACCGGTTGTATAACCCCCTTCAGACTGTGCTACAGGCGTAAGGTTGCCAGGTTCCTCGCCAGTCCTCCTGGCAGACAGTGGCTCACTTCCACCTAGTGACCTCCAGGCTCTCATGGCAGGCACTCCGAGCCTGCAGCATGTTCCCCTTGGCCACCTCCTGCTCCTGTGGGCTCAGGTGATGAATCACCATCAGGTAGCGATAGTTACACACCCGCCACCTCACGTTGTGCTTGGCAAAGCGCGCACTGGATTTCACCCGGATCCCAGCCTTCTCAGCCAAGATGCCCACATAGGCATCTTCCACCGGGATGGGGTGGACATGTTCTGCTGCCCACAGGATCCGCTCAACGGCATCCAGAGACAGGATGTAGCCGATGCCGCTGGCGTATGGCGGGTATTCGTCTGGGCGGTAGTCTTGCCTGGAGACGTACCATTTGCTGGAAGGCTCTCTGATGACCTGCCGCTTTTCCCGGGAGAAGAGGGACCCTGCATACAGACCCGTCTTAATAGTGTTGTGCTCCAGCAGGAACTCCGGCAGCCGGTCTGTGTTGACGAAGCAGTCGTCATCCGTCTTTAGAATGTAGCTGGGCCGGCACCGCTCGGCCACCCACTTAAACCCATGCATGACCTTCAGGGTGAGGTTCCGATAGGTGTCCTGATAATTCCCAATCAGGATGTCCCCAAACTCCTGCTGCTCTCTCTGGATGCCGTGGGCTACCCCAATGTCTGCGGACTGGCCGACTAAGAACACGGACTGCCATTGGTTTGCTGTCTGTCCCTCGTGGGCAGCCCAGGTTCTCCTGATCACTTGCCTGGGCTCTGAATTCCCTGGGGCTGAAGTCACGAGGATCAGGAGCAGCTGCCCAGGCTCACAGCGAGGATGTGTGTGAGAGCTGGTGAACAGAGATGGAAAGTCCACGCCCCTCTGGGCAGATTCGATGGCCCCAAAGCGAGACCTTCGGGGCAGCTTCCCTCGGAAGCTGGGGAAGCGACTGGAAAGCTGCCATCTCTTCTGGACATCAGCTGTCATGACCAGCAGGCACCAGAGCAGGATGAGTGAGAGAAGGCCGCTGACACAGATCAGCCCTTTTAAGCCCCACGGATGCATCAGTGCCATGGGAGAAGGAAACAACAGGCATTGTAAGCACGACAGCTCCAACAATTATACCAACCCTGCCTGGCTAGGGAGAGAAGACAAGGCAGGGAGGGAATTCCTCAGCACCATGCATCCCTCCTGCCCCACTGCCTGTCAGCTGCAGGACACGGACGGCGAGCCTGCGCAGGAGAGCCAGGGAAGCACATGGAAGAGGCTTTACTTAGCAGGGTCACTGGCCGTTTCATGCATGTGCTGCACCGGAGGGTAGGTGTGGTGGAAAGGTCATCTGGAACATGCACGGGCAAAGCAGCCAGAAAGGACACTGTGACCCGGCTACTGCCGGAGGGCAGGACACAGCTCACACCAAGTCTGGATCATTGCTGTTCAGTGAGTACGGGCTCCTTTCATGCTGGGCTGCAGAGCCCGATCTGACAGGAGCATCCAAACCCAGCCCCCACTGTAATTCTTGGGCCATGAATAGTTCTGAGCGGATTCAGTGCAAGTCAAATGAATGCTATATAGAGTGCCGCTGATGGTCTCCCCCTGGGCTGGGACTAGGGGGCTTTGAAACGCTGCAGGTCCTGGCAGAATCTCAGGAGCTCCAGTTACTCCTTGCAGTGTCTTGTTCTGGGCTTTGTCCCACTGCACTCTGGCTTTGCTTCCTGAGAGAGAGGGAAGAAATCAAACTCCTGAGTTTGGAGACCTTGCGTTCCCAAGCAGAAGAGCCTGCATCTTCAGGCCAATAGTTACTACAGGCCCCAGATACTATAATGGACGAGAGATTCTCCTGCCCTAGCCAGAGTGAGATCAGAAGTGGGAGAATTCAGCCAGAGACGCTCCAAGGGATCCTATGTGTTCTCTTCCCCCTCACCACAGCTCTTCTCAGAGTTCTCTGGGTAACTGTAGTAATAAACAAATAATCACCCATTCCCTCCTGTCTGAGGAGCTCAAAGCACTTTACTAACACTAACCGTCGTGTTCCTTTGGTACGAGGGACAGGATCGTCACTCTGACTTTACAAATGGGGAAACTGAGGCACTGAGTGAGGCCAGGACTGGTCTGAGCTCACACAGGGAATCTGTTCCATTAGCCGTTTCTGTGCTTTCAAGAACAGGGAATAGAAAGTGGCTGTCTCCCAGGCCCGAGCTTTAGTCACCAGCCCAAACAAGGGGCTTGTCACTTGCAAATGGTGCATGAGGCCCATTGTGGCAGGATGTCAGAGAAGGTCAAGCCCAGGAATGTGGAGTCCAGTTGTTTTATGAGAAAGGGATCCTGAGCTCAGTCACATGGGAAGGGAAGGAACCATTCCAGCTCCAGGCGCTGTCTTGCCAAAGCCACAATGGGTTCTCCCTCCTCCCGCTCCAGCATGGCTGCTTGGGTGGGACAGTGCAACCACATGTGTTGGGAGGTCTGGCCTGATTGCTGTCTGGGCTCCTGCCCTTCCAAATAGCACCTGCATGCAGGTCTCCCATATTGCCCCTTACACCGGGGAGGTGTTTGCAGGAAACACGCACAAAACCACCTCATTGCCTCCTGCAAATGCCCCTTTGCCAGGGAAATGCTTGGCAATGATTAGGCTACTGCTGTAGAGAGCCCACAGCCTGTCATGCTCACCAGTACCATCTGTTTCGTTATGCTCCCATCTCTGCCTGCACTCATCTCTTGTCACTTGTCGTATTCCTTAGACTGTAAGCTCTTTGGGGCATGGACCTTCTTTTTGCTCTATCTCTACAGTGCCTAGCACCAGGGGTCCTGCTCCAACACTGGGGCTCTCCCACCCACTGAGCGGTTCTGTTGCTCTTCTCTGAGCTCCCCAGAGGGAAGAATTTCTCTGGTATAAGGTGGGCAAAGTGGAAAGCAACAGTTCATGGGTGGTCATGCAAGAGCCACATTCAGAGGCAGCATCAGTTCTGTGGGGATGCCTTAGTGGCCCAGAGATTTGGGGCAGTCACATCAGATTGGGAACACCTGTCTCATTTCCTACCACCTCTCACTGCCGGGGTCTCTCAGCCATTCCAGTGGCCCAGGCTTCTCCCACGCCCTGCTGAGTTGCTGAGATTATCTTCCCCTGGATGGCTCTGACTCCCCTGCCCTCCCTCCCACTCGCCTGTTCGCTCTCCTCCGCATCACGGGTGTTACAGGAAATGGCTTTACAGGTGAGGCCCCCCCAGACTCGCCCCATGCCCCCCCCTGGGCTCAGTGCTGCGCCCCAGCACCTGTCTGTTGGGGGGCTGCAGCAGAGTCACTGCAGGGAGCCCTCCCGGCCCTGCCCTGGGGCTAACGCCTCAGCCCTGGGCCTGGCGAGACTGTCACAGGCTGGGTGCAAGGGAGGAGTATCCCCAGCACCGCTGCCCCCAGCCCAGCCCC